TGTATATGTGTATGTGTGTGTGTATATATGTATGTATGTGTATTTGTTATATATATATATATATATATATATATATATATATATATATATATATATATATATATATGAGCACCTCGAGGCGGTATAATTGTTGGCAAGCTTGGTTCGCTAGATCAATTGCGACTGAGTAGTGAGTTCGTTCCTCACTGGGTGCCCCCTAATTTCGGCTTTGCTCCACGGTATATTTGTATATATATGTATGTGTGTTTGTATGTGTGTATGTATGTGTATATATATATATGTGTGTGTGTACATGTGTGTGTATATATGTATATATCTGTATGTGTCCTATTTTATTGTGTATGTATATTTATATTTTAGTATATTTCTGTTTGTATGAATGTGTTTATATATTTGTATGTTAGGGTATATGTATATTGGTGTGTGCTGGTATTTGAATGTATATTTATTTATGTATATGTAGGTACGTTTATATATGTATTTGGTTGAATGTTGTTGTATTTATATGTATGCATGTATATATTGGTACTTGTTATTATAGATAGATATATTTATATATATGTTTATATGTAGATATGTATGTATGTGTATATATATTTATGTATGTTTGTGGATGAATATGTGTGTGTTGACACCTATTATGTATGAGTTTGTTTCTGTGTATGTGTAGGTATGGAAACTTTGGTATGTCATTACTTCCACAGTAGTTAGTCTATGTGTGTATATATGTTCATATATGTATTGGTGCATGTATTTATATTGGGGCATATATTTATATATGTGAGTATGTGTGCATAAAGATGTGTGTATATATGTGTGTATTTATGTTTATATGTATATGTGTGTGTATGTGTACTTGTTATCATAGATATATATATGTGCGTATATGTTTATGTTTATATATTTATATGTATGTATTTCTGTATGTATATGTATGTATGTGTGTATGTATATGTGTGTTAATTTGTGTTTGCTGCCGCGTGTGTATATATGTATATGCGTATGACTGTACACTTATTTCTGTGGGTTTCTTTATCCTGTTTTTCTTCGCCTAATATATAATGAAACTATTATCAACATATGATTAAAATATATTTTTATTGATATTTGTGGTTTTGGAATTTTCGTTTTAATATATTAAATAATATTATTTTTAACCATTTTTATCTTTGTATATTTGCTCGCTTAAGTTATATTTTAATAAGTGGCTGGCATTTATTTAATGATACTTTAAGTCTTAAATATTTATTTGTTGTGGTATCTGATTGTCTAGGTCATTGTCTATGGATATGTGTACGTGTATTTATCGGTGTCTATGTGTATGTAGAGTGCATTCACATTTAATTGTGTGTGTGTATAGGTGTTGGTTTCCCCGTTTCCTTTTTTCATAAAGGGCTGTAGAGATGACCCTGTCTCGTCGCTTTTTTTAAATTCTTTTTGTGTGTGTATATATATATCTAAATATGTCTGTATTATAATCTGATTGTGTTTTTGTTGTTTTGCGCATGAGTTTAAGACCACATTCACACACTTTAGAATAAAAAATATATATACATGTATTGTCAAATGACCGGATATATTGTAGCGTCTTGTCGAACGTAATTTCAACGAAGAAATAAATTGAATAACATATCTATTTTTTCTTTTCTCAATAATTTTGTAGTTTTTAAACTTAATAGTGATTAAATTTGGATTTTAAGATTGCCAGTTTTTAATTTTAATATTAAATTTTATCATATTATTTTATAATCATTGGTTAGTATAAATTATTTTTAATATTACCCGTATTTTTATTTATTTTTAGATCTGAATAGCTATTATAACAATCTTTCTATACTGGGTTTTTGATTGGTTATTCTAGCTCTTGTAACAATGTTTCCCCCTAGTGTAGGATCGTTAATTAATTTGAAACTTTTAAAACCATTTATTTTATCTTCAACATCATCACTTGATAAGACACAGAGTGTGTTGAAACAAAATGGCTATTTTTGTAGTGATTTTATAACATACTTATGTTATAATTTTTTTTATAAATAATAATTATATCTGCTCTACTTTGTATTGAGCACTCTTTTAAGAATAATAATTGTTGGTTATTGGAATTCATTCCGTATATACCAATTATATACGTGGGTATATATATATATATATATATATATATATATATAGTATTTTGTGTGTGTGTGTGTGTGTGTGTGTGAAAGAGAGAGAGAGAAAGTTTCGTAAATAAATGTCTGTCTGTGTGTAATCAGTGTTTCAACGTAATATAGCACTAAGCCCCGTACCTCAAGCACAGTATTTTCATACTTCCACACACACACACACACACACACACACACACACACACACACACACACACACACACACATATATATATATATGTAGGTATATCTATCTATCTATCTATCTATCTATCTATCTATATCTATATATATATATATATATATACTTTATTTTCGCCTGACGAGTTCCATTGCATGAAAATCTGGGTAGCGGATTTGATTTTATTAATATTTAATATTTAGGCTCTGTTGATTTTGGCATTGAGTTAATTATGTCTTTTTGAACATCCATACTATGAATATTGGTAATCATCAGGTGTCATCAGCTACCACTTGTGAAATGACATAATTCAACATGGCTTTCGTTGAAAGTTTTACCGCTTTTTCCACTTTGATCTCTGTTGATAGTTTTAAAAAAATGCTTATTTCAAAATATTTTGAATAGAAAGTAAACACTTTGTTTTTCACATTTTTTGATAACGGTCCATGAAAACAATCGAGAATATTTTCTAATTGAAATATATTTATCATTGTCAAAATTACTGAATCATACGTTCGACACGATAAAATTATAGACAAAATTTGTATAACATATATTATTATTGAATGTTGATACACGTTTCGGGACTTCTGCACCCTTCATCAGCCAAAGGTTTACGTTGATTTAATTTTTAAGTTGAAATGAAAAAGTACAAATACAGACTTAGAAAGAGAAGATAAACAAGGAGGAGAATGGGAAGAAAAAGAAAAAGAACAAGAATGAGAAGGAGGAGGAGGAGGATGGGAAGAAGAAGAAGAAGAAGAAGAAGAAGAAGAAGAAGAAGAAGAAGAAGAAGAAGAAGAAGAAGAAGAGTAATAATAATAATAACAACAAGAAGAAGAAGCAGCATATAATTATTATAATTCTACATAATTATTTTAAGTCCTCAAAACTGCAGTTACAAGATTCAACTTTAAATTCATTCTGTTGTTAACTACGGAAGAGAATGGTATGTTAATTTTAACGCCTTCAAAATTAAGTTGCTCTCTCTTAATCATCTGAGAGACCCCCTTTCTGCCTTCCATCAACATGACTGATGCTAACCTCCAGGAGAATAACTCTTTACGCCTTCTCAGAGTAAAGTTCTCGTCTGACATGAAATGGAAAGACTATATTGAATCCATTGCTAGGTCAGCTACTAAGAAATTTAGTTCACTTTGTCGTGCTAAACATTTTACCTCTCCAGAATCTATCTTACTTATCTATAAGTCTACCATTTGTCCATGCTAAGAATATTGCTGCCACATATGGCCCGGTGCTCCTGTTATATATCGAGAGATCTTTAATAAAATCCAAAGAAGAATCAGTAATATCATTGTTTCAGACCCAAAGTGGGGATAGGGTCATCATCTGTCTTATCTCAAACGTAGCTAGTCGCATTTGTCGGAGTTAACTCCTCCTTAATTTCTTAATTGTTCACTAGGGGTCGCTCTCCCTACACTATAAATACTGGGCGATTTCTTGCCTGGTTCTCTTTTTCATTTCTTCATCTTCAGCGAACACAGCTACAATGTAAGCTCTCGCAGAAGATTGCGTCTTCCCATTTGTGGGAGACGCCATGAACATTATACACACATACACGTACGTACGAAGATTCACCAAAATACACACTCTTTACGTTCACACACAAGCACAAATGTTAATGTCTATGTCTATTGTAAATTTTGTTGTTTAATACATATACTTGTTTGTATATATATATATATATATATATATATATATATATATATATATATATATATATATATCGGTCTTGTTTGTTTTCTTTACAACTTCGGTTGGACTCAACTTGAGTTCGTCATATTTTTGAAGTGGACCTTTTAATCTTCTAGCAGGTATACACACGTTCTTAATTTAACAACACGAAAACCCACGGTCAGCTACACATTCATTGACCCAAACAATATTCCTTGCATCAAAATACCACATTCTTACTTACCATTTTTACTACAACCAGTAGTTTTTTTTTTTTTTAAGCATTCCACCCCAAGCAAGGCGGGAAGTCACTAGCACGCAAGGGGTTACAGAGAGTTGGAGCGAGAGCAAAGAGGAGTGATAGAGGAAAGGATGAGGAGAAGGTTAGGGGATAGATCAGGGAATCTGGAGACGTCGATTGACATTACATTGACATTACATTGCTTAACTTTTGGAAGGCAACTTCGCTATTGCAAAGCGCTTTCAAATTTCGGTATCGCATTTTCCGTCCTCTGTTAAAATGCTTCGTAGGTATTTAAATTTTTGTACTCGCTGGATTTTGTTGTTTTTTAATTCGTAGTTCGAATCTACCTTTTGGCAATGGTTAAATAAAGGATATTTCTTGAAAAGTGTATTTGCCGCAATTAAACGATCTTTGTGTTTTTGTTCATCCTACCTGATATGTAATTTTCATTTCTTAACACGTCACATAAATCAGTGGTTCAATCCTCAATAGTGACGTGCAGATTGCGTAGCACTTAACACGGAATGTGGAATTGACGAGTCGATATTATGTATGCATCCATTGAAGCTATGCATTTAATAAGAGTTTAAAGTGTGCTCTCAAACCTTGGGTGACGACCAATCTAGGAGAAGGACTACTCTGAATTCAAAGGAAGGAAATCAGCATAAAAATATTTAGTGCAACTGTAGGTTCTTTTATTTTAAAGTTATTTCACAAATAAAGCATAAAAAACACGCTATTATAAAGAGAAAAATGCAAAGAGAGAGAGAGAGAAAGATAAAGAGAAAGAGAGAAGGAGGGAATGAGTGAGAGAGAGACAGAGACAGAGACTGAGAGAGAGAAATAAAAAACAATAACGTTACAGGAAAAAGAGACACAAAAGAATAGAGGACAGCGAAATAAATGCAAGGGAAGCAATTTAATCCAGAGTTATGTCCCTTTATTTATATCCAACATTAAGATGTATCAAACAGAATCAGTTACCTTAACGTCTTAAATGCCGAACATAGTTTTTAAGTTTTTATGTAATTTTAATCTTTTATCATAATTCGATTTTGGACGAGTGGAAATTTTTGCGAAATCAATGAAATGTCCGGCGAGAAGAGGTAAGATCAGTTAGGAAAAGGTAAACAGTAGACAGTTTTACTTAAAGAAATTGATCAAATGACTTTTGAAGTCAATACTTAGAGGCGACAGGCTGTTTCATGCTAGACGCAATCGTATTGCGTCTAGCATGTAAAAGCCTGTCGCGTCTAATGATGACTTCTATGTTTATATATATATATATATATATATATATATATATATATATATATATATATATATATATATGTATTCCCAGTTGAAAACAATAGTCGCTGGTTGATGCTCGGCTAAAAGTGAAAAAAGTTTTGTTTTTTTTCACAAAAGTGATAGATTTTGTTTTTTAAGACTTATCAACCTTTTGCAGGTTATTTAAAGTCAGAAAATAGTTTTAAGATTGAAAAATTTCTTTCTCGATAATAATGATTTACTGATACAAGTTCTAGTAATTAATGCATAGCTGGGTGGGGTTGTCTCTGGGGGTGGGGTGTGTTAGAAGAGGTGGATTAATACCGTTTCCCAAGAGTATTTGTGTGTAAGTGAATATAACAAACCCAGCAGGAATTGTAATGTGACGTCGTCCCCCGGTCGCAGCGTCGACTGTGTCGTTCGATCCCGGCGCCAATTGTGACGTCACGTGCTCCTCAGGCTCTGATATCCTGGTCACGGACAGCACCAACTGTGACGTCTTTGCCGCGGCGTCAGCTGTTCGCTCCTCGCTGCTCCAAACGTGACGTTCTAACCCTTTGGTTAGATTGATACCAACCTCGCCGTTCCCAACCCGCTTCCAACGCCTGGTTACCAGGGTAACTGCACTGATCTCCAGTCTGCCTACCCACGTTGTGAATTGATCTTAGACAGACGAGATCAAACAGGGTTTGGGCCGTAATGCAAGTTGAGTCTAACGGGGTGATAACACACAATTATGTATAAAAGAAAATAAAATAAAAACTCACAAGGTCCAATGTATCAAGAAAAAGGTAACAAACTTTTTATGTCTAATTGCTCGGGTACATAGGACTATGTCTACTTCCCGACCCGTTCTGTGGATTGTGGCACGACGCTTTTTACTAGGCAACTTTAAGGCTTCCAGTTGTCTGCTCTCTATGAAATTTGTGTTTCGGTGTGTCTTTGGACGAAAGTCGAAAAAACTTATTTCTGTGGTCTGATTCTAAGTCGCTCTTCAAACTACTTGTTCTTGGTTGAAGAAGAGTCCAGAAGTGTGCGTGAATCTTGGTCAGCTATCTTGACGCGGTTTCAACACTGGGCGCTCATCTCTGCTTGTCGTCCACGGCTGAACTCTTTCGCCGTCCGCGGTTTCAAACTTCTCTCAAACTCATCTCCAGAGTCGGTGCGCGAATTCTCTTGGTCTGAATTACTGGTCATCTCCGCCGTCGGTGCGCGAACTAACTTCTTCTCTTCAGCTTGGGTCGGACGAACTTCTTCACTTAGGCCAAACGAACTGGCCTCTTTTGCCCGCAAAGGGGCGAACGAACCTGGCCCGCCGTCCGCGGCTCAAACTGATTTCTGTCGGTTGGGCTTTTATTGACGCAGTCAAAACTGGGGTGGGTCTGTCGGCGCCAGGGGTTTCTTCGATAATTCTAAATACGTATCCACCCTTCTTATTTCTGGTTAGGGATTTTTCATTTTCGGTAACTCACTCTCACTCCCACTTCCTTACTGTGCCTCTGAGGGGCGTATACCTGCTTCCCCGCTTCTTCGTATCGGCTCCTTACACTTACACTTCTGACAGGGGCGTCGACCGATTCTCCTCGTGCGTCCCGTGACCGCTCTCGGCCAATGAGGTCCTGGTCGGGTATCTTTCCTCCTCCTTCGTGTGTCATGTGATCTTATTTAGCCAATGAAGTCTTTAGTTGGGCGTGGAAAATCCGTGGCTTTGTTTTGGGAAAGAAACACCTTGCTTAAAAAAACTAAAATATTAATTTAAATCGCCCTTATCATGAGCGACTGAGATGACACCTTCGGCTTTTTTAACACGTGGTATTTGTCAAGCAGTTTATCGCTAATTGGATATGATCTAAGAAAGGATTTCTCAGACCCGTTGGCGTTTTTGAACGAAATAAAATATTTCATTTTCCTCCGGCCGAAGGTCCGATAATAAAAATCTTTATTATCTCAAAAAAATTTTCAGCGACATCATCTTGTGTGGCTTTTTTCCAATTCTTGACACTGTCTGGGTTTTTTATTAATGGTTTGCCTTCATATCCTTAGATACACTTCCCCACCCACTTAGACCTTTACTATCATTCCAATGACACACTTTCCACTTGTTACTTATCAATATTTTCATTGTCCCTAAACTTCGTTTCTTCTTTTCTTTCTTTTCCCTTCGATGACAACCAAGTGATAACAACTTCCATTTTCCGCGGATCTCGGTCAGATGCTTGACCTGGTAATTTTTCGACACCTGTTATCTGTCAACCGTGCGAGTGTGTGCTCGCCTATGACCTGTTTTCGTATTATTTTTTCTTTCTTTCTTCTTCGTTTTCTCTTTCCTTCTTCCAGATCGCTTGAATGTAAAGAAAGAATTATTCTTAAAACCCAAAATATTTTTCAGCCTTAAATAATTATTAAATGGTTGATAAACCGTAAAAAACAAATCATATATCTATGAATATTTCTCTCAGCTCGTCAGGTATGCATGGTGCCACAGTAACACGGTTTTCTGATTTCCAATTCCGAGCCGTTATCTATTATACCACACGTACATTCAAACATACAGCTACTGGTATTTCCAAGCCGTCACGCATTTAGGTATTGATTTACATTGACGTTGCTTAACTTTGGTGATCGTATGAGAACCGGTGTTTGGACGTCATACGGAGAAAGAAACTTGAAGTAGTAGTAGTAGAGAGAGAGAGATGGAGAGATGGAGAGAAACAGAGAAAGAGAGAGAGAGGAACAAGAGAGAGAGAGAGAGAGAGAGAGAGAATGTAAGACAGACAGAGAGACAAAGAGATAAAGAAAGCGATCAAAAGTCAGAAATATGTTTTCTCAGACAATAATTACGCATCCTGACACAAATTTCACTGCATAATAATCAATCTGTGTGATTAATATAGTATAGCTGGCCCAACGTATTCGAGGATAGCCGTCTACTAGGGCGGCTACCCAATCCCTGTTGCAGACGCTTGCTCAAGCGCATTTGTGTTTATTCAACACCTACAGAGCTCACCTGCGATTTATACTGCAACTATGCTGAGCAGAACTTAGTTACAATTTCTGGCAAAGATTTATCTAGCGTGATCAACAATTTGAACAAGGCCAGCACACTCAAGCCCTCGGCCACGATGACTTGTGACTTCCGTCTACACAGTTTCACTCACAAGGCTTGGATCAACCCGTGGTATGGTTTTCAAGCACTTTCCAAAGGTGCCGCACGTTGGGTTCGACCCCTCCAGTCCGATAATATCAGTAAGTCTCCATCCTGACAAATCGACCATGGTGATATTCGAACCCGGGTCTCATGGTCAGAACTCTAGTCTCATGTTCTAACCACCCGGCCACGTGCTCATTTGATTAATGTTCACCAGTGAATTGAGTTCATGGAAGGAGATTATATTAAAAAAATATATATTCATGTAAAATGAATATTTTTTAATCCTTTGTAAACGAACGTGGGCACTTCACCGTGGTGTAATGGTTAGCAAATTTGTTTCGCTGGATCATTTACAACTGAATAGTGAGCTCGATCCTCACTGGGTGTCCCATAGTTTGCGTATCTTAGTTGTGATATAAAGCTGTGGCTAATAGTTGTGTCAAATGATTTGCTAAGCGTAGCTTTATAAATCATCATTTGACCACGAACGTATTGCTATATCTATGTATGTAGCCATCAACCGAGATAGCTATTACAGACAGACCGTCAAATTAGATAGCTAACAAAGAGGCCATCAACTTAGCTATTAATGACATGCTGAAAAATTAGATAGCTATCAAAGACAGACCGTTCACTTAGATATTTATCAAAGGCCGTTAACTTCGATAACTATCAAAGACCGACTGTCAAATTAGATAGCTTATGAAGTCAAACACTTAAATTAGATAGCTCTTAAAGACAGACTGCCAATATGGATCGCGATCAAAGACAGACTGTCGAATTAGATAATTATCAAAGACAGACTGTTTACTTTGATATCTATCAAAAACAAAGCGTTAATTTCGATAATTATTAAATACAGACTGTCAAATTAGATAGTTAATAAAGACAGATAGTTAACTTACATATCTATCTGACTGTCAAACTAGATACCTATCAAATAAAAAACTTAACTCAGCTATCAAATACAGACTGTCAAACGGATCGTGATCAAAGACAGACTATCTTGATCCCTATCCAATATAGATTAGTCAAATAAATTTATCTTAAAAACCTGATCACATTTTAGAAATACCTGCAAAAGGTTTGTGAAAAGAAAAAGAAATGTTAATGACTAACTCATATTCAAAGTCCCTTCAGATTTTAAATTATCGTTGATTCAGCTATCCCGAGTTCTAATTTTACTCTCAGATAAAAAAAAAAAAATCAATTTTATTAAAGTTACAGTTTTATCTGGTTATTTGAATACCAAATTATTTAATATTTTTCTTCTACGTAAAATATATTAAAATACATTTATTTTTATTGCGTTTCTTTTTTTTATAGCTTTTATGTTTCCGTAATTGTTATAAACATTTTTAATTTCTCGAGAGCTGACGTCATGAACGTGTACATGTAATAATAATACTGTCAAGATGAAAGGGAAGTTTTAAGTCAACGATGCATAGCTTTAATATTTGTAGATGAAAATGTTGATTGTTCGGCATTGAAATTCTTTTCAAATATTTTTTAAATGCACAATGAAATTGGACAGTAGTTCACAGGCGCACCACACACACACGCACACGCACGCACACACACACACACACACACACACACACACACACACACACACACAAACCCATATGCACAAAATCATGCAAAACATCGAATGATGAAAAGTAATAAGATTTAAATTACGTTAAAAATTGACAGTGTGCGGTGTGTGACATTTTACGCTGGGCCCAAGGATAGAAAGCTCCCCCTCAAGCATTTGTCCCAGAACTCAGTCAGTTATGTGCCATGCGTGATACACGCTTAGGCGATCATGTATCTTTCGATATCATGACTGACGAGGCAGATTTTTTTATCCCGCAGTATGTTGTCATTTCTTTCTGCGGTAGACCAGTTGCTATCCAAGGTTATAGAACCCGGTCCTGCTATTTACCTATAGCTGGGAAGGGGGAGAAGAGGATTCATACCTTTCCCAAGGGTATTAGCACGTAAGTGAATGTAATGGATTCGACTGGAATTCGAACTCGGCCCCGCTGGCCTTCTTCGTAAGCTTCAGGGATACGGCATTACAGGATGATTATTTGAATTACTTAAATCATTCCTGCCAAACCGTGAAATGAAGGCCGTCCTAAACCGGTTCTCCTCCAGTTCCATCCACACGAACGCTGGTGTTCCCCAAGGCTCTATTCTGGGTCCTACATTGTTTCTGATATTCATCAACGATCTTCCTGATGTCATCAACTCCCAAGTTGGCATCTACTCTGACGACACTACTATCTACTTTTGCCTCAATAGTAAATCTGACATTGTTGACAAATCTAACCTGGCCGTAGGCCTCGAGAAGGACTTCCAATCCGTGGTTGATTGGGGCAGGAAATGGTTTGTAAACTTTAATGCCTCTAAAACGAAACTGCTCTCAGTTATCTACCAAAGAGAACCCTCTCTGCCTCCTATCAGGATGACTGATGCCCAACTCCACGAGAGCGCCTCTCTGCGCTTGCTAGGTTTCACGCTGACCACTGACCTGTAGTGGAACAATTATATTGAATCTATAGCTTCATCTGCTGCAAAGAAAGTTTGTTCTCTGTGTCGCGCCAGAAGGTTCTTCTCGCCGGAGTCCATCCTTCAAATCTACAAATCAACCATTCGTCCTGGCATGGTCTGGTGCTCCTGCTGTTCATCTCGAGGCCCTAGGCAGAATCCAGATACGGTTATGTAACGTGATTGGTCCTGATCTGGCATCCCGTCTGCAGTCGCTATCTCACAGACGTGCCGTGGATTCCCTCTGTCTCTTCTATAAGTATTTTCACGGTAACTGTTCTGACGAGTTGCTTTCGCTGGTTCCCAGACTGCATGAATTTAAACGAGCTACTAAGTTGGCATCTCAGTTCCTCCCTGTTACTGTCGAAACGGTTAAATGTAACTGCCTCTTCTATTCAAACAGCTTTTTCTCTCGCCCTTCCCGTCTGTGGAATTCTCTTACTTGCTTCCCTGATAACTATAATCTTCAAATATTCAAATGTAATGTCAATCGACATCTGAAACCTTGATTTTGTTCCCCGCCCTTTTCTTTATCCTCTCCCTAAACACGCCTCTATACTCTTGTTCTCTACTGTCTGTAACCTCTTGCGTGCTAGTGGCACTCCTGCCTTGCTTGGGGTGAAATGCTTAAAAAAAACAAAAAGAAAAAGAAAACTAATGCAATGCAATATTTATCATTTATACAGGAAGTCCGTGTGCACTTTAAAAAGTTATAACTTTATTTGTATTTGCGATAGAAATAATCTGTAAAAAATGTTATAAAGTTTAATGTACCTAGTTTTAAATATAGCGAAAATAACTAATGTGATTTCAGGGATTATTGTAAATCAGTTGGCAAATGTTTTCCGCGAACTGCAAAATCGTATTACCCTTTGTATTGCCAATGATGGAGGACATGTGGAAACATAAATAAAATTTCAATAAAACTTTAAAAAATATAGATTTTCTTCTTTCTAATCCTTTTTACAAATTATTTCTATCGCAAATACAATTAAAGTTATAAATTTTTAAAACTGCACACGAACTTTATGGCACCCTGTATTTATAAAGAAATAAATATGAAAACAATTTTTTATTTAACAATTTATAAACGTTTATTAAATTATTATTTTTGTTGTCAATTCTCAAGAACAAAGACAATTTATAAATTCAATTTCATGTTTAGGTTTTATTATAATTCTAATTATCGCTTTTTAAAATAATAACATTGCCCGAGGGAATGTGGTTAAAAAAGCGGTATCATGCAAAAAACCACCCTTTTGACACGTTTATCCAGGTTTGCCATCGGGGATTCCAACTTGAAACATCACCTCCCTCATTGTAATAAACAGGGATGGTTGGTTGATGCCGATGCCAAGGTGACAGAAGACGCGAGGACTGGGCAGTTTTTGTTGTTGACCTAAACGTGCGCATACAGTAATCACCATATTAGGCTTTTCTTTATTAGGAAACGTCCGGCATTTATTGACCGAACAGCAAGTGATACTGTCAGTCGAAATTTATAAAATCTTCCTATTAAAAATGTTTTCAGAAAAATAGGTTCCCCAAGTCCTCTAACGGCTATCGCTCTTTCTAGTATAGAGGTTCTTTTCTACGTAATGCGAAATATCAAAATCTTGTTAATGTCATTATTTTCTCTTCGAGTTACATGTGCTAACAATTTTAGTTTTCGCTACCGTTGAATGTCCTCAAATGATGTCGTTACTTTTATTTAATACAATTCTTTGTTTATGATTCTGTTGCACCAGTCCTCTAGGTTCGAAGAAGTATGGTACTCTTTAAGGCCTACATTGTTCATTCTCTAGAAAGTCGTTTTTATCATTGGTCTTTTGTAAGAAGCTGCGTAACTGCGTTGAAACCACATTCAGCCATATAGAAAGCTGGAAAAGCAATGAAGAACGGTTTGATAGATTCCCACGGGTTTAGATACCTTTTCTGAAATTTCCTTTTGTAGCCAATATGGAATAATTTTTGAAAATTTGAAAACAAAATGGTAAATGTCCACCGACTCCTTGAGTATTTTCAACGCCAAATGAAATTTAAAAAAAAAAAAAACTCCCAGTGCCCATTTTCAATATAACAGAGCCGACAAGGGGGTGCTAGCGCCTACGTTGGGAAACACTGTTGTAAAGAGTTAAATAACGGTCATAAATTTCAAAAACTGTGCCAAGGGGAATTCGAATGGATTGGGAAAATAGGAGAGTCTACGGTTGAAAGGTAGACGAAATGATGCAAAGCGACGAGGTCGAACCGTAGAAGATGTAAGAATTGAAAAAAGAATTTTGTATATAACAAAGGAACAACAGCGATGGGTTGGTTGGCAGTTTCTTTCTTTTATTAATGAAAATTGGATTTGTGATATTGAATAAATAAGTAAATATGAAATAATTTTACAAAATGGGGTAAGATGCAAGAGTAGAGATACCACACATGTTTTCTTTGTTGCGGGCCATCTTGATGTAGCCATTCATTCCCCAACTTGGACCCCAACTGAAAAAGAAAGAAAAATCATTTTAGTGGCTGAAAGATTGATCCAGTTTAGTACGAACAAAACATTTATATTTACATAAACGTTTTTTCAATCATGCGTAAAATAATTCAGTGTATATATATATATATATATATATATATATATATAGAACTTTATGACTTCAAGGTGGGTTTGACCGCAGCCGAATCAAATTGCTGAATACGCCAAGCCATTGAGGATAATGCTGTGAGTGAACGCACTGTCAGTCATTTGTTTTCTAAAAGTTCAGAACGGAGGATCTGTCCCACAGGCTCTGGATGATGATGCCCTGGAGCAGCCATAGAGGAGGACAATAGGGCCAAGCCTCTGTAGAGTTTTCGAATGCTTCCAGATGAAACACTCAGCCTCACCTTCGTCGCATAGGGAATGTGGATATCCCACACTGTCAGAAACAACAACATGAGGCAACCTGTTTCTCGTTGCTTTCTCGGCCCTGCAACATACCCATATTTGTTTGAGTGCTTATCAATAACAAAAAGTGGGTCCTATATGACACTTGTCATCACGCGATACTCTGCCTCATACCACAAGACCACCTTTACACCCATGCAAGATCATGCTCTGAATCTGGTGGACTAGTCGTCAAATGGTGCACTACGAGCTTCAACCAACGGGCCAAACCATCACTGCAGACCTGTACTAGCAGCGATTGAAACGTGTGCAACAGTCATTGAGGAATAAGGAGCGAGCATTGATTAATCACAAGGGTGGAATATTCCTCCATAACAATGCAAAGGCTCATGTCGTGTGGGTGGCCAGGGATACCATACGGTGACTTGGTTGGGTGACACATTTACCTTCCTCCCCGGATTTTGCGTAAACAGATTAAAACTTCCATTTCCTGGAAACCACTCACGTGAGAAATCCTTCGAAAATGAGACAGGCTTTCTTTGCATACAAGACACCTGATTTTTACCGCCATGACATTGCGCAGCTGAAGGAACGCTGGCAAATTGTTCTGGATGCCGATGGCGATTACTGTGAGAACTAATGGTAGGTTAAATGTACTGTATACTTTTTTTTCTAATAAATAAAAAACGTCAAGGATATATTGGTTACCTTGTAGAACAGACTTTCATCAGGATGTTTTTCCGATCACTATAATCTTAACATCTTCAAGTCTCAAGTTACCCATTTTCTTTTCTGTATAGCGTTATGAACTGCACTTGTTGCACTCTATTACGAACATACAACACAACACAATAACACTCTACCTTGACTGGATTTGGGGTATTATATTGGATGAACATTAAAATAAAATAAAAATCTTATTACTGCTCAGAATTTCTCGGAGACTACATCCACTCTTCACGAGACTGCATTGTAAGAAGAGTGAATGTAATATCTGCGGAACTGAGTAGGGATAAATTAACATTTAAGTTTTTTATCTTATTTGTATATACCTTTTTCTTTTGTATATAAGTAAATTCCTTTAAAGGAGTATTTAATGCATATAAAATATCTATTTTATATAGCAGTTTCTTGCTTAACGATTTTTCATTAACGCTTTTCGCTTAACGATTTTATATAGCTGTTTCACGCTTAACAATTTTCAAAATGGGCGACTGTTTTTTTTTAACAGTGTTCCAGAGATTTATTGTTCTTTTTCTTTTTTGTTTCAAGGAATGCGCCAGCGGGCCGACAGTACTGAAATAATAGAAGCCTATATGATTCGGCTATTGTGATAATGAAAATGGAGAATCTCATCACAAAACGGATAACTCCTGTTTTTATATTTTAACAGAATTTATTCTCACCTGTTCTTTACGAGCCAGTATTCTTTTCCTTTTTCTGTGCCGTATCCAACAACCAGAACGCCATGATCAAGCGTGAAAGCATTGCAATTGGAGCTTTCATATACGCCTTCTTTGTAGTGAGCAAAGTCGAAATCGCTGGCATCAATGGCGACTGAGATTGGTCCAATTGTAGCCACTGCCTTCTGTAGGGCGTTCTCGCTAAAGTGTTTAATATCAACATAATTTGACAGTGAGGTAACTGACTTCGTTTTATTGAATCTGCATTCATCATCCTGCAAAGAAAAAGATTACAAACTGCTTCAGTCATGCTGGTATTTTATTAGAAATTTTTTAATGAGGCTGTCAAAAATCACCATGGCTCGTTACATAGAACAGCGCAATTTCTAAAGAAGCAAAGTATTTTTATTTATTAATCTGACAGATTTTTTATTACTTAATCGTTGTTTTTAGTGGTTACTCATATTTGAGTAGACGCCCCGTTTTTATTTTTTAAACAGTATATTTATTATCGTCCACCGATCTGAATATTCAAGAATTATTCTTTAATAAGATTTCTGCAATCTATCCTTGTACACGGCAGTGAATGCTGGACTATTTCCTCGCGGATGAAGAAAAGACTTCAAGCAACAACAATGTGGTTCTATAGAAGGATGCTGAGAATAGTATAAGCGGACCATGTAAGCAACGAGGAAGTCTTCAGGAAAATTAAAACAAAATGGACAATTATATATAAAATAATAAAAAAAAACAGTTGAAATTTCTGTAATATGAGGAATGTTGGCTTGGAAAATTTGATAGTGACAGGATGTATCAAAGGCAGGAAGGAGAGAGGGGAAAACAACGAGTAGCATACCTAACGAATGCAAATGGATGACAGAAAAAGTAGAGAAAGAAAGAATGTAAAGCGACAAAAATTGCTAAGAGCTATTAAGGATAAGAAGCATGGTCGCCAACTTCCTGGAGGGACACTGCACACAGATGAAGAGAATATAACTGACAACGATATATGTTATGAAATGTTCAGTTAGAACATGAGAGCAACGAGTAACTTTTAAGGAAAATGGGATCAAAAATGACGTTTATACTTAGAATCATAAAGAGACATAAGACATTTCTTAGATACATAATGAGAAAGGGAGGCTTGGAAAATTTGACACACACTAGATATATTAAAGGCAAGAGGGACAGATTAAGCTAACGAGCTTATGTAAATGAGTGACAGAACAGGGTATGAGAAGGATAAAAAAAAAACATTGCTAAGAGCTACAAATGATAGGAAACTGTGGAGAGGCATGATTGCCCATGTCATGCTTAAAGGATACAGAAAACAAAAGAAGTCATGGTGGAGTAATGGATAGCGGCTCGGATTGAGGAATTGGAGAGCCGAGTTCAAATTCCAGTCAAATCCATTGCATTCACTTACGTGCTAAATATCCTAACAATATCCAGGAGTAAACAGTAGGAAAGACCGGGTTCTATAGCCCTGGATGGCAGAAAGAAATGGCAACCTACTGCGGGAAAAAAATCTGGACACCTGAAAGCTACCTGATCATATGGGGCATAACTAAGTGACATATTATAAACGAACAATTATATAAGGAGAAAATTAATGTTTTAAAAGAAACTCACTTTGGCTTCATATGGATAATCAGTTTCGGATTCAATTCCTCCCATGCTACGAATACATGAAAATGCTTCTTCCACTAGTCCTCCTTCGCAACCAGTTGTCTCTGAAACAATATCAACAAATTTAGCCACATCATTAGAGGAAAATAATTAAAATCCACTCATTAGGTCTAGGAAATTTTACAGCGAGATTTTTGTGAAAAAAAAAAAAATTATTTCCACAGAAAATGAGTTTCAAACTTACGACAGTCACCAGTGCAGTCAATTAAATCCTGTTCGGACAAAGACACTAATTTTCCAGTTTTCTTGAAAAACTGGCCTTCCAGAGATCCAGTTGCCGAGAAAGCCCAACAAGAGCCGCATTTTCCCTAAATAACATTTGAAAAAAAAAAAAAAAAAAAAAACATTATCAGTGGCGTAACAATAATAAATGTCTAAATAAAAGAATAAACATTTCCAGTAAAAAAGTAGAGAATTGACATTTACCAGCGCATGCGCGCACATATTTCCGATACTTATTCATTTATGATTGAATTTATTCATGTAAAAGGTATGAAAATTTTAATTTTAACAATTATGCCTTGAATGAGAAAGTAAAACCAGAATATTGTTTTGCGTCGAATATTTTTTAATTATTATCTCTGTTATAATTTTGCTTGTTCCTCTTTTCGTTAGTTAGTCCTCACGACCGATACGTCCTGCCAATACCTAATAAATAATGAACCGTTTTGACTGCGTGAAAACACGGAACTGACATATCAGAGACGCTACTTGGTTTCAGTTTCTTCACTTCTCTGCTGGGCGAGGGCTAATTTACAATTGACTCTGCAGATAAGTAAACTTTTAAAGTAAAATACGTTCAAATGTACGTATATATTAATAAAATCATTTCATATATAATAACTGTTATCATTTCTAGCATGGGGATAAGTTCGAGAATCAGTTGTTAAATTTTTATCTTTTCTTATTGTTTGTTTAATATTCTGAAGGTATTGAACTTAAAAAAAATGTAGAGCGACATATTTCTTTCGAGTAAAATATTTTCATTTTTGATGACACAAGTTAACGGCTGTTGATCACTGCTTTCGTCAGATGGGATGAAAAAACCTTTTTGTGGACGGTTACATTCTAATCATTTAAAATTAGTAAAAAACTTGCTCGGATAACTTTTCTTTTTTCATTGAAAATAGCTGAAATTAATTTAAAAAATCGTCCGTAGATATCAATAAGTAAAATGCCAGTGGCCCTAACACCAAAAACCTATGTAAAAAAATGAATTCATAGAAAATTTCTGTCTTAAGTTTTTAAGACAGAAGGTTTTAAGGTATTTGTAGTTTTACATTATCTTTGACCGAAGATGAAATCCAGTAATTTTTGTCTGAATTTCTAGGATGAGGTGTTATCTTTATCTTTCTTATTGTTTATACGCGGACTATTATCCTCATCTTTGTTGTTATCACAACATTTCGACCTTTGTGAACTTCGAGTAACCTACAAAAATTTTCGAATTCAAGCAATATGGGAGCCGTTAATAAATAAAGAGAAATGACCGTAAGGCTTCAACAGCAGCAGCAGCAATAACAAAAGAGGAATCTCGGTGAATACAGTCAAGAGTAGCAAGCAGAAGTATCAGCAGGAGCAGGGAGATTAAGTATAAAGGACTCTGCCACGGGACAAGAGCCTAGTGGATTCGTGAATTTGGTGACATAGTAATCCCAGAGCCAGACTTAGATTCAATGAAAACAGGATGCGAAATAACTGAGCAACACTAAATGGGCACAATAGGAAATATTACTAGACATGAACAGCTAAATGAGGAATCTATCACCAGAGATTAAATAAAGAGCTCAATTCAAAATTCCTCGAATGTTAATTGGATCGACAAGCACGTGAAGAAGGCCGAAGGACATAACGGCCGAAACGTTCCGATAATAATAGTATGGTATTTAGCTTTGCGTTTAGTCAGTTATAAAAATTCTGTTGAGAATCCATTGCAATTAGAATAAAGATGACAAATATTTTAATTTACTTTTTAAAATACTTAAAGATGTCTTAAATGTTTCGTTAATTAAGACCCAATTAAAAATGCCATCTTTATAATTACTAATAATAAGTTATTAACATAAATAATTAAATACCAGGCATGAATTGATTTGCTTTATTTTTTTTTGACGCTGGTTAAAAGGGAAGAAATTGAAAGATGACATGAAATGAAAATTCGCTGTTAACTGAAACCAAAACAGCCGACATATAGACATAGTTTTAAGTGTAAATTATTTTCGGATAGAGTGCATCTGTAAAGGAACATAAAAAGAGACAAGAGAAAAAACTGTTATTAGCCGACATGTTTAGTCTTCTGAGGGACTTTATCAAGGCAATGTAGGATTTATTTTGTTACACGTGTTTATATAGAAAAACGAGGAAGTTTATTAAGGCTTTTAAATTTGAGAACGTTCACGAATGTTAAAAAGTCAGTCAAAACACGTGGAGGACACAAAATATTATAATTAAAAATCTGGTAAAAAGTAAGCGAATAATATTCAAGAAATTTTTTTTATTTATTTTTAAATGAATATTATTTAAATTGTAATCAGATTGTTATGTTTTGGGATGGACATATGTGCTGTACATCTTCAAAGGCGTGATGTGATGGATTTAACCTTTTTCTTTTGATTTTCAACATATTTGTGGTCGTGTATATTGGCTTGGGAAAATGGTAATTCTTTCAGGAAAGGTGAGACTGGAAAGAAACTGGGGAGTAGATTTATATTTTGATATGATTCGATAGCGGCAATATCGAGAATTTTTCTTCTGAGTAAATTACTTTCTCTTTTCATGAGTATAGCATTTTTTGAATCAAAATTGTGGTTGAATTTATTTTTGTGTATGACTAGTGCATTTGATAAATTATTATATATAAGGTCCCTTTTGTGTTCATACATACATTTTTTTTAAATTTCTGCATGTATCCCTAATGTATTATGAGGAACATTTATGGCAATTTATTTTATATATACCTACTTTTGAATTATTGTTACGGGTATTTTTTTTATTTCTGATCATATCCATAATGGCTTTGAAAGTGGTTGTGACTATTTGGATGTTGTTTAGTTGGGATAAGTTGTTTTGGATAGTGAATGAGCTAATTAATGTTATCACAGCATTTTTTAACCAGTTTTATTAGATAGATATTTATAGATAAAAAATAAATTGAATCAAGTCTGATTTTTTGTGCTATTCCTAATTTCGGTAACTTGTCATCAAATCACTAATATACTTTTGTTAACGCTTCTTATTTCAAGGAAATTAAGATAGGGAAAAAAATGATATGTACCTGGTTTTTAACTTCAGTCACGTAACCTTTCTTTCTCCAATCTATTTCTTCGGGGAGATCACGAATATCTTCGTCGACAAACATCAATGAAGAATGATGTTTGTTCAGATTACGGTAAAGTAAACCATTCATAACTTTCTTAAATTCATGCTCCATCTGTAATAAGAAATATTCATTATTTCTATAGAAATTAATATACATCGGACGTACATTCCGCATATAAACAAAAGTGCGATCAAACGATTTGTAGACAGATCAAAATATTAAGTCTACCATTCGTCCAGGCTTTGAGTATTACTGCCACACATGGTCCAGTGTTTCTGCTATATATTTAGAATTTCTTGATAAAATGAATACAAAATGGTACAAACAAGAAACCGCAATGTTATTGATCCTGACCTGGCATTTCGGCTTCAGTCACTTTCGCAACGCGGTAATAAAGCTTCCCCGTACCTTTCCAATAAATACTTACATGGCAATCGTTCTGATGAAGTTTCCGCTATTGTACTTGATGAATTTAAGCGCAGTCCGATATTGACAACAATTACTCATCAATTTACAGTTGAATTGGCTAGATGCAACCGTAAGTTCTATGCTAACATTTTCTTTTCTCGTACTTTTCGCTTGTGGAACTCTCTTCCTGGATCCATTCTTCCCAGCCAACTTTGATCTAAATGCAGTATCAATCGTTATCTTCTGACTTCTTGATTCCTCTTCTTTTATTGTTCGCGTTCCTTAATAATGCTTTTCTTTTTTTTATTCTTTCACAGTCAGTAATCCTTTGTGTCTTAGTGGCTTCATAGCCTTACTTGGGATTAAATTCTTCTTTAGATATTGTCAAGATTTTCTAGAAGCACCAGACCAGATGTAGAAGAAATATTTTATGAACAAGACGGTTGAAAGTACAGTAAAAAAACAAAAAACAAAAAAAAAAAAAAAAACAACGCAAAAACAGAACACATATGAACATCGGACATTTTATCCATAAGCATTAAGCATTCGGTTTAAATGCGTTTTGGTTCATAAGATGGTCTTAAAATCTACATCTATACAAGCGTTGCGTATTCACAGCCCATGCATGCGTGCATATATATATATATATATATATATATATATATATATATATATATATATATATATATATATATGTGTGTGTGTGTGAAGAAATATAGTTTTAAGGTGTGCTATATTTATGGGATAAAGTACTCAATATCAGAGATAGAGCCTATGTAAATATAAAAGTGAAAATTGAAGTCAACACTTCGAAGTGACGGGCTGTTTCATGCTGGACTTAATCGTCAGGCCGCGAATGCTAGATATTTTCTCGGCTATTTATATATATGGTTCAGTGGTGCATTGTGGGTAATCTAATTTGATTATAACCGCCAAAATAGATTACCCACAATGCACCACTGGACCCATATATATAAATAGCCGAGGAAATATTTAGCATTCGCGGCCTGTCGATTGCGTCCAGCATGAAACAGTCTGTCGCCTCTGAGTGTTGACTACAATGTTCACTTTTATATATATATATATATATATATATATATATATATATATATATATATATATATAGTGTGTGAAATTCTAACTTGGTTTTATGGCTGGAAAGAGAACGTACTAACCTCTCGAGCAGGTGCCCATTTCTTGATATTATCAGTTTTAGATTGGGGAGACCCCCGTTGAAAGTGCCTGAAAACCATATAACTGATTGGCCGGGGTTAGTGAGTGAACTTAGATGAAATTGTTCGGAAGCCTTCGACGGTTGTACTGGCATGAAGTCGCAAGTCATCGTGATCGAGTGTTTGAGCATACATGTGCGTGAGTGGGTGTCTGCAGCAAGGATTAGGTATCCAGACTGAGAGATTCCAGCATAAGATCATTATTCATGATGACATATAAGAAATATGCCTGAACTAAATTTTTACGACGGATAATTTTCCGTTTGGAAACTAGTCTTAGGTGTGTACAACAATAGGTGTGTCAGTATATACTTTTCTTTTAATCGGTATAACCCCATACAAGGTAGTAAAGCCTCTGGGAAATGACAAAGTGACTGAAGCCGAACCGCCAGATCGGGACCAATGATATTGCTGATTCTTCTTTGGATTTTATCTAGGAGCTCAAGGGGCACTGGACCATATGTGACAGCAATATTCTAAGCATGGACGAATGGTACACTTATAGATATATAAGATAAATTTAAATGAGAATAATCGTCTCGCACGACACAGTGAACCAACTTTCTTAGTAGCTGACCTCGCAATGGATTCAATATTGCCTCTCCACTTCATGTCGGCTGAGAATGTTAGCTCGAGAAGGCGAAACGAATCACTTTCCTGGAGGCTAATATTAGCCATGCTGATGGAAGCCAGAGAGGGATCTCTCAAATGATTAATAGAGAGAAGTTTATTTTTGAACTTACCATATCAGTGAATTCGTTGATACCTAGCCAGTAGGAATGATAACCCAGGGCACCCAAATAGTTGCGTTTGTTAATAGTACGGACATTTTTTTCCCAAATTAATCGCCTGAAAAAGAAGACAAGAAAAATGTAGGTTATTTTTGTCTTGAATCAAAAAAAAAATTGAATATTTTACACACCTGTTACCACATTAAATTTAAATAAAAAATCTTGTTTATTTAGAAACTTTTGTCAAGTACCGTGAAATTACATTTATACAGATGGCAGAACTTTGAACTTAAATATTACATTGAGTCATAAGTAATTAGCATTTTAGGAACCAATTGTAATGACGAATGTATCATCCTAACTAACCATTCTTTAAATGTGTCTTAAAAGGTAATAAAAAATGGTTTATATACAACAATGTTCAACGCACGGACAAATTTCTACAGCCGACTCAAAGGCTGATATCTATGGATTCTTCTTAATGAGAACAGAAAATTCTTTTGGAATCTCTTCAGTTCCTTTAATAAAAGTGACCGCCAAATTTGTTGTCTGTCGTAAACATGTTAATATAACTCGTTGTCCTCTCTCTTCTTCCTTGCATTTTACTCCAAAGATTTTCTCGGTAACTTTATATATTAGATTATTCGGGTATTCAAAAAGAATTCTGAATCAACCAACAAAGGTAGAACCAAAGTTGAATGGTACGATTGATTCTTTTTTTTTTACGGTTTATCAACACTCTGCAGGTTATTTAAAGCCAGAAAATATTTTTAGATTGTAAGTATTTTCTTCGAGATAATGATTTAGTGATACAAATCTCATTAATTAATCCATACCTGGGGGTTGAGAAGATATGGATTCATACCCTTCCCAAGGGTACTTGTGCGTGAGTGAATATAAGGAACCCAACGTGAATTGGAACTCTGCTCTCTGATTAACAATGCCGACCTATTATTTATTACACCACCCGCACATTCACGCTTACAACACCTAATATTACAACACTGATCAGGCTCGACGTTGCTTAACTTCGGTGATCGTACGATAACAGTTGTTATGTGGCTTTATACCATGAATTGTAGTAAAAAAAAGTGCTTCTAGAATAAGTTTATCATATCTTTGACCCATGTTGTTTGTGGTGCATTTCAAAATTTAATTGCGAAAACTGAAAAAGAAGATATTTAGGCACCTAATGAATTTTCGCTTGAGTTTTGAACACAAAATTCTACCAACTGCAATAATCTTTTAACCAATAATTTCAAACTTTCATGTTTGCATCGTCATAAAAATAGGTTTTCCCAGAATGAGCAACTGGTTTCAATAACAATGCAAGGAGGTCATCCGCCGACGTCCTAGCTTTGTGACTGTTTGAATATAAAAAAATAAATGTCTTCCATTACGAACTGTTGAAACATGGAAGGGCCATCATTGCATACTGGGATGTGCAGCTGGCATAATGGGTTGCGTCTCGGAATGAACAAATCGGAAAACCGAGTTCGAATTCACCTCAGGTTCTTTACATTCCCTTACACACAAATAACCTTGGGAAAAGTAAGAATCCATCTCCTCCGACAGCATTAGTTAAATATTAGGATTTTTATATGGAAAAATTGCTATTTTCAAAAAATTGTTAATTGCTTGCTCTTGCAAAAAAAATTCTCTTATCCAAAATACGTTTTGTTTTAAGCAACAAAGGGTTGATAAGCCGTAAAAAAGTCAATCACGGCATACCCTTATTGACAGCAACTTAATTGGGTAAACGAAGTATTAAGTCGGAATTGTCTTGCTTTGGTAAACATAAAAAGTGTTATACTCCAGCATGACGATACGAGGATACACGCTAGGAATCATGCCTAAGTTTTTGTAGGACTCCCTGTTGTGGCTTCCGTGTCGAATAGGTGTTTACTAGATGCATGCTAAAGCGTTTTATAAATCTGTCCTTCTCCTAGATTCGTTGCCAACCGAGTCTAAAGAGCACACAGTATGTCCTACCATTTAGCCCCTTAACAGCACAAGGACGGAAAAGGTGGATTCAAATCTTTCGTAAAGGTATTTGCACGAAAGTGAACGCAGCGAATTAGGTTGGAATTTGAACTCGGCACGTCGATTCCATCATCCGTGCCGATAGCCGCTACGCAATGCGGGCATAAAAAAAAAAGTACTTCAATGACATGAAAATTGATTTGAATCTCATCAAGAAAGATGAATCGGCTTGTCGGAGACGATCTTCGTGCATTCATGGGCTTACGGCCATATCACGTCAAAACACCGATTCTCGTACGATCGCCGAAATTAAGCAACGTCGAGCCTGGTCATTACCTAGATGGGTGACCGGCTTGGAAATACCAGGTGGTGTAAGCTTGGATGTAAGCTTGTTAGTGCGGGTGTTGTAACGTTTAACAGCACAGAATCGGGAACCTGAAAACCAAGTTTCAATTCCAAACGTATTCTTTATATTCACTATCCTTGGGAAAGGTAGGAATCCACCTCTTCTCCCCCTGTTATGGGTTAATTAGTAGATGAATAAATCATTGTTTTCTCTATAAAAATATTACAATCTAAAAATATTTTCTGGCTTTAAATAATCTGGAAAAGGTTGATAAGCCGTAAAAATCAAATCAATCACTCAATCTAGGATTAAAGCATTTAAGTAAGTGAAAAAAATTAAATAAATTAAATTGAAGAAATTATTTTAAAAATTGTGGTTGTGAAAGAAAAGTATAAAAGAGATTTAAAATAAATTTACCTAATAATTTCTTCATTTTCTCCGTGGTAAACTTTGGTGTATGTCTTTTTGTATTCTTCCCAAAATAAGTCCAAAGATTTGTCGAAAGGTGGGTAAGATTTGGAGTATACGGCACCGAAGGCGGCCAGAACGATAAAGATGAAGAAGACTTTCATTTTGATAAAATACTGATGGCAGAATTCAAAACAGAAAAAAGCCTAATGACGAAGAAATGAAAAAAAGTAAAATAGGTGATTATTGAAGACAAAGATTTTGTAAGGCATTTATTCCACAATTAAAAAAAAAATCGAGAGGACTGTATTAAGAATTAAGTAGAAAAGTAATTTCGGGAGAGAGATAATAAAACAGAGAGAAAGAGAGAGAAAGAAAGAGTACAATAAATATGAATTAAAGAAATAAAGAAAGAAAGAGGAATTAAAGAAGAAAGAAAATGTGAAATAATGAAAGAAAAGTGGGACTACAAAAGGAAGGAAGTGAAACAATGAGTGAAAGAAGAAGATCAGTACGTAAGAGAACGAAAGATTTACGGAAAGTAAAAATGAAAGAAAGGAAGGGTAAGAGTACATAAGGACATGAATTAAAGAAAGTGAGAAAAAGAAAGACGTAGAGAGAGAGAGAGAGAGAGAGAGAAAGAGAGAGTACATAAGAAAGATAAAATAAAGAAACAAAAGAATGTATGAGGGTAAAAGGATAGAAAGATATAAAAGGAGCCAGAGTACATATAAAAGAAAGAAAAAGAAAGAGAGAGAGAGAGAGAGAGAGAGAAAGAGAAAGAGAGAGAGAGAGAAAGAGAGAGAGAGAGAGAGAGGAGATGGGAGAAAACGAAAAAGAGGGAAAAAGAAAGATCTTGTATAAGAAAAAAGAAAGAGAAAAATATTTGGATGTGACACGAAGAAGTGGGCAGATATAATCATATACGGAAAGAAGAAGAAGAAAACAGAAAGAGAATAAAAATGAAGAAAAACATGAAAAGAAAACAAGAAGAAAAAATATAATACAAATAAAGAAAGATTTAAATGAAAAGAGAAATAAAAGGAAATGAAACTAAAAGGAAAAGGTTTATGAAATATGGAGAAAAAGAAGTGAAAAACAGAGTTCTTTAATTGTGTAAGAATAAAAAAATTGCCGGAAAATCGCAACAGAAAAAGAAAATGCGAAAAAATAAATTAAAAATCGGTTAAGGGATATTAAAAATAAAATTAAAAAGTAAACCAAAATGAGAAAAATGGCGGATATTTTAACGAAAAAAACCCCCCCAAAAAAAGCTAAAAGCAAAAAATCAAAAAAAAAAAAACGGAAATCCTAGAAAAACGAAAAGCGGAGAAGAATAAAATTGTGTTTTACTTACTTGTTGAAACTGGTGACTAAGTAATCGAGATTCGAGCAGGGCTTTTATATAGACATGAACATAAATGACCTTTGTTAATGATGATCTCATACGTTTGAATAAGCATCATTTAACACAACAGTACAAAGTCCATACGAAAGAACGTCTTTTGTAAACAGTAATATTCAAAACTGTTTCCTAATTTAATATCACGATAAAAATTAACAACAGATTGAGACGAATAATTCTGAAGTTCACCAGCCATCTAAACAATTGTACACAATTTGGAAATCTTCTTTTGTGTGCTTTGTCTATTCCGGGCGTCGGTGATCATGGACCTCCACAACTCCTTATCTTTTGTAGCTCTAAGCGATATTTGTCTTTATTCTGTTCTGCCATTCATTCACACAAGTTTGTTAGGTAGGTTATTTGTTGTTTCTCTTTGTTCCTTTTGCTTTGAATATGTCTGTGAGAGTGTGCCAAGCCTTCTTTTCTCTATATGTCGCCTTAGAAATTTCAAATCTCTATTTTCTAAGTATGTGTGTCCATTTTGTTCCCATTTTCGTTAACTCTTTTCCTTTGCTTACATAATCCGTCCATGGTATTGTTCTTAGTATCCTCCGGTAGAAGCACATCTCAATAGCCTCAATTCTCCTCTTCATCTATGAGGAAACTGTCCCGTACTTACTGCCATAGTGGAAGACAGGTATTAGTTATCAGAGCGGAATTCTTTACTTTCTTGCTCAATAAACTGTTCTTGTTTCTTAATGTTCTGCTTCGCTTTTAGGAGGCATCTTCTATAACTTCAATGCGTCTTCAGATTTCGTTTTTTACATTTTATATTTTTATTTTTAACATTAATATCTTCTGTTAAAACGTCTCCCAGATATTTGTATTTCTGTACTTGTTGGATGTCGACATCTCTAAGTCGAAACTCGCATCTTGGTTTTTTTCTCTTGCTTATAACCATACATTCTATTTTCTTACAATTGATAGTTAATCCTTTTTTCTCGCTTTCCTTTACTATCTTGTCTAGGTCTGCTATAATCTGTGTGTCGGTGACCGAAAATGCCTTCTTCCGGCCTTTGGGGCTGGGATCATAGTGTAGTATAGGTTCCTTCTTAAAATTATGGAGGAGGCTTGGTTACGAAGATTCCAACACTAAAGAGGGTTGGTGGAACACAGGCGCCAGTATGACAATGGTCACGGAACTAGACAATGTTTGTTCTTGGCCTACACGAACACGTACGGGCTCCCCACATTAAAAAAAGGAACCTGTATCACATTCTACCCTCGTGGGGAGGTGGTTCTTGAGCATTGTATTATTAATGGTAATGACAATATTAGCCGTTTCCCTATAAGGAAACTGATGTAATGAATAGGCATACACCTGGGTTCCCCCTCACAGTAATATGATTGGCTGGTGTCAGCCATAAATACAGACTGATGTGGAGGTACAGGACTACGCCTATTGGCCTAAGCCTATTGCCTACCACTACGATGAGGACCAGTCCATTACGGTTACCTGCTAGATTGTCCTACCCGGTTACATTAGTCAACAACCACTTTGCTACTTCAAACAAATATGTCCCTTTCTGTGACATATCAGAAACATTTGGCATTCATTGACCCAGCAGTTAGTACAGCTTTCGGTTGAAATTTATAAAATCTTTCTCTTAAAACATTTTAAGAAAACAGGTTTCTCAAGTCCTGTAGCTGTTATCGCTCTTTCCAGTATTGAAGGAGGTTTCCTTCCTAACCTTTTATTTGAAGTGGTGTAGAATGTCAACATCTTGATTATGTTATTATTTTAACAAGATTCATGTGCTATCCATTTTAGTTGTTGATACTGTTGGTATTCCTTAAGTGATGTGGTTTATTTGGTATAGTTCTTTGTGAATCTGTAGCGCCAGTGTACAATGTTCAAAGAGGGATGACCTGTGTCAGAACCTTCAGGCTTCACTCGTTCAAAGCTTTGAGCGAACTCTAATAAAACAATAAAGTCTTTTTTTTAAGCGTTTCACCCCAAGCAAGACGGGAAGCCACTAGCACGCAAGGGGTTACATTGAGTTGGAGCGAGAGCAAATAGGAGTGATAGAGGAAAGGATGAAGAGAAGGATAGGGGATAGATCAGGGCATCTGGAGACGTCGATTGACATTACATTTGAATAGTTGGAGATTATAGCTATCAGGGAAACGGGAAGAGAGAAGGGAGTTCCACAGGCGAGAGGTGCGAGACGTGAAGCTATTGGAGTAGAAAAGACGGCTACATTTAACAGTTTCGACAGTGAAAGTGTGTGATCGAGATGCCAGCCTAGTAGAACGCTTAAATTCATGAAGTTTGGAAACCAGCGAAAGCAGCTCCTTGGAGCAGTTACCATGAATGTATTTGTAAAAAAGACAGAGGGAGGCGACGGCACGTCTGTGAGAGAGTGACTGCAGACGAGATGCCAGATCAGGGCCAATTATGTTGCATATCCATCTCTGGATCTTAGCAAGGACCTTGAGACAAACATAAGGGGCACCAGATCATATATGGCAGCAATACACCATGCAAGGGCGAATGGATGATTTGTACATTTGAAGGATTGACTCCGGCGAGAAAAATCTCCTGCCGCGGAACAAGGAGCCAACTTTTTATTAACGTTTTTATTTAAAATTTTTAAAACAGATTTTATGAATTCGATACTGAAAGAAACAAAGAACTTAAAAAAATCCTCTCTCTTCCCGCCAGAAGACGATAAGAAAGAATGAATTAACTGCAAATGATAACAGTTCTTTGACAAGAATTAGGACCTACGTCCATTTATATAGAGAGGCATGAACACGGTCAGAGTCAGTGGCAAAATTAAACGGATAAAACAAAGATGAGGATCCTCGTTTGAATGTAAATACTGTATGTAAACAAAGTAATTTCTAAAGAATTCTTCAATATAATAATTATTTTTAATTTTGTAAAATCAAATACAGTGGGACCTCGATCTACGAATTTAATCCGTTCCAGGAGTGGATTCGTAACTGAAAATTTCGTATGTCGAAACAATTTTCCCCATTTAAAATAATAGAAATTAAATTAATTCTTTCCACACCCTCAAAATACTGTTATAAAAATCGCATTTTATGCAAAATTAAAGTAATTTAAAAAAAATTATACACAAATAATGTAAATAAATATATCACTTTGTCTCCTTCCCTGGCTTTATCAATGGAATTTAAGCAATTTAGGATACTGAAGTGATCCTTATAAAATTCTCTTAGGATCAGGTTTGTATTTTCGCTTACTTCAAAACAACTCTGAAACAAGGCAGCTTTATAAGAGCTCAAAGCATCTCCTTGTTTTACTACACCATGGATGTTGGTTCTCTTTTTAAATTTTTCAAAACATCCTCAACTTGGCTTAAATGCATTTTTATCTTCAGAAAACGTGCCTGGTATTTTTCTGATAAGATCCATGTCCACTGCCTTGCCTTCAGACACAGAATCACATCGTAGTAGCCTCTCATTCACCCACACCAACAACAGCTTCACAACATCTGCCGCTTTTGGACGATGATTGGTAATTATGCTAACTCCTTTCGTTACATCAAGCATTTTTTTTTATTTCTATCTTGTTCATTAGTATAGTGCAAATTTTTAATGCTGAACGTCCGTATAGTTTGGCAATGTCAGAAACACGGTTACCTTCTTCGTGCTTCTGAATTATCTGATATCAAAACAGTAGAGTAGAAAATGTAAAATAAATTATAAAGTTTAATTAGAGTAAAATAAAGTGTATAAAGTGCAGGTACAGCACATAAACTACGCAGAGTCTGTCTATATTTCTGAGATGAGGTATTATGTACATTATTTATATGTCAGAAACACGGTTACCTTCTTCGTGCTTCTGAATTATCTTCTTCATTTGCACGGATATTTTTTCCCTCTTCTTGGTATCAACCAGCCTCTTGGGTGACATCGTAGGCTACAAAAAATATAAAAAATTACCCACTAAAATTTAAAATTTATTGTACATGTGCAATCACATTTAGACTGTACAGTACAGTAACTGTATGAAATGTACCGTACAAATTAACTTGAACTGGATGTGTAGTTTATTTTACTGCGTAGTTTACATTATTTACATTATTCGGACTATTGTCCTCATCTTTGTCGCCATATTTATCACAACGTTTAGTTTATGTGCTGTACCTGCACTTTATACACTTTATTTTACTCTAATTAAACTTTATAATTTATTTTACATTTTCTACTCTACTGTTTTGATATCAGTTTAAAATTATATGTGTGTGCGGTGCATATTAGACTAAAACACACTTTACATAGAAATTAGACGAAACGAACTCACATTTTACCTACTTTTACTTCAATAAATTTTAATAAAATTTACATGTTACTGAACTGTACATCCGTGTATATTGTATATATAATCACAAATATACTTACACTACAAATGTTTATTTTACGAGGTAACAAAGAGGACTGAGCAGAGTGATCCAATACTCATAGCATCACACAGCAACTAGTGTGATGGAACTGTATAGAAATATGTACTGTATATTAATACAATACAGTATTGTATATAAAATATAGTATGATAAAATAATACACACTGTATATAAAACAAAAAAATATAAGAATAAAAAATACAGTATAAAATATATCTGCAAATATTTAGTAGAGTACAGTACAGCATAAAAATACAGTATAATATTGTAACACTGTATAATACTACAGTATTATATTATTTTATATAAAATATATAATAATATATAAAATATAAAAATATAAAATGCAGTATATTTAGATAAGATTAAAAAGTAATTACGGCACATTTATATAAAATATCTAATTTAAAACACAGTGGCGGGAGGCACATTCTTAATGTCTTAAAATTAATTCATAAGTGGAAACGAATTTGCTGACAAATTTTTGTTTGTATGGCGAGTTTTTTGTAAGTGAAGGTGTTCGTAAGTCGAGGTTCCACTGTACAAAAAAATTAAATTATGATCATATACTTAGTTCTGTACTTTTAACTCCTCGAGATTGTTTCTGATATCGGATTTATTGTCCGGTTAGCACTTCTTTCCCGTCTTTTGAACAGAAGAAGAGGTTTATCCCCTGTTTCCT